TTAAAAAAATCTTCTTCTGATATTTAAATTAAATTAAATTTTAATCTATATTAATTTTTACAATTCTTTCTGAAAATTAAACTTACGTATAGCACATTTAGCACACAATATTATAAATTGTTATTACAATTATATGAAACCTGTTTTTCTTATATCTGAGTCATAAAATGATCTACTTTTTCTTTCCTTCATCTGCTGATTTAGTCTTTTATTTGCGACGTTTTCCTCTTGAACTAACGAGGAAGTAGCGTGAGACGTTACAAGTATCCTTCCTTCCTCTTTTTTTTTTAACATTTGTTACAACGTATTTAACGATAGCTACGTGTTTCTCGAAACAGTGATAGCTCGCGTTCAGCTTCGGCTATCTCGTTAGGCGTCTATTATAGCAAGTTGGCGTGAGTTGATACAACTTCGGCCCGGTACTCCCCTGTAAACCCCTGGCGTTGGGTGTAAACCCCTCTCGTTAGCGACATCGAAGATTATTCGACGCATTCAGGGCCCGGCGAGTTCCGCACGTTTCACGCGAACCAAGCTTTCAGTTAAAAGCTTGGCGCTCTTTTTGAGAGCAAGCTTCGGCGTTTCGGTGGAAAACGTCTGAACGCCAATTGCAATGTTGCCCGAAGCTTGATCGTTACTTTTATTTTTACGCCGCTATTTTGCGACAGTTTATTGCTACGAGCCTTTGCCCCGTCCGCGCAATCGCCGACGCACCAAATTTGGAAAAATTTAGGGGAAAAGCGAACGATCGTGAAAATAATCGCCCCTCAATCTCCGGCCGTTTTTCTCCACAAATTACAACCTTTTTAACGGAACACGTACGAGAAAAAACAGTTTAAAACTGTCAACGATAAAATTATTATTAATTATTAATTACACGTATCCACCGTATTCAAACATCACAAATTCTTTTTCGTTTTTTTTCTAAATTCAATTATTTTTTTTCCCCTAAAATTTCGATTGTCCGAAAAAACAAATGGATAATCAATAATTGCCGATTCTAAATACAATAAATAAACAAATAAATTATTTGATAGTATTTGCCGCACCAAATTCCCAAATTTATTGTCCAGTTACATGTTGTAGCTATTTTCCGTTCCATTGTTTATATCTCCCTAAAACCATTGATCCAATATAATATATAGATATAAATAAGTTGTCATGTTATTGCAGTACACGCAATTTTAGTTTCTCCGTTAAACTCGTCACGTCAATCCTTTTAGCAGATTTTAAACCATTACTCGTCACATCGCGAAGGGCAATTGTTCGTGCTTCGATAGCGATTTTCAACGTGCTATTTCGAAACGCGTCCATTTCGACGGAAAACGTTTGCCATTAGCACTCTCATAGCGGTCGCATTTTGATCGTTATTTTGTTTTCCGAAAATGTGTGCGTAAATGTCTGCATGTATATACATACGTGTGTGTGTACGAGTATATGTGGACACACTATGGCGATACCGACCGATTTTATCAAACCGTCGCGATAAAAGCGAATCGACATACATGGAGAGTCGCGCCGTAATCGCAGACGATGATCGAATCTGCTAACCATAACGTACGCTTCCGATTTTGATCTTGCCCTTTAAGCCGCTGGCCGCAGCTTAACTCGCAAGCGATAAGACATAAGGCGATATACTTAGGTACAATGTTCGCTACCTGAGTCGCAGACAAACGGCATAGTTAGACAATCACTACTACAGAGCGAGTTTATCGTGTAAATCATGAAATTTTGTAAAGTTAGAAAATGTCCTCTTTCGATTTCAAATCAAGCGTAATAATATGTTTTACGTTTAGCTTCTTAGTTATTTTAATTATATTTAAATAGCTAAATTAGTTAAATTTGTCAGTTAACTTAAATTGTTTTAATTTTTATTTATCTTAGTTTTTAAAATAAATAGTATTCATTTAAATAAATGTAAAAATGTAAAATTTCCTTTAAATTAATTTGAAGATGCTTTTAATTTTAATAAAAAAAAAAAAATCTAGTTAAATACTGTATAATATGATGATGTGATGAGGATTAATATATGTATAATATAAAAAGATTAATTTATCAAATAATTCATAATAAATCATCGATAAAAATCTAAGTACATATATTTTTATAAAATATATCAAATATTTTTTACGTTGAATGATAAATGCATTTATTTATTTTATAAATGCATTTTTGTATGATTTCGCATGGTTTGATTATAGAAAATAATTTATATATGCACCTTATAGAATCTTTTTTGCGCATTGAAAAATGTGTGAAGAATTTGAACGATTGTAAAGAATTTGTGAGCATCAGAGTTGGATAATACAATTAAAGCGTATGTGAAAATCGTGAACTTACCATGTTATTAAGATTTGCTTTTTCTTTCTTCTGATGGACATGGACATAGAAGGATATGTAATATGATACATAATCATTAATAATTGCATCAAGTTTCCAAGATCCTTTGAAAGTGTCATTCACTTTCATACAGACACCACATTGACCGAAAAGTTGAAAATCGTCTCGTTTCTCTGTTAGTAAATTTGTGGAATTTATCTATAAATTGAACATATTATCCGTAAAAGTGAACTCAATTATAAAATATAACTCAAATATAATTTGTTAAATTGTTGTTAAATATAATATAAATGTAGTATTAAGTGTAGTTGTTAAGAATAATTATTATAAATTACTTCACACGGCAAATATCTATGAAATATATTATATTCATATATTGTATTTGAATAATTTATTTTACGATACAATATGCAATAATAAAAATAAAATATTAAAATACTTTAAATTTAAAAATTTAAGTAAAAAATTTACAAATTTTATATCAATAAACTATTGATAATACCTAAATACCGAAATTTCAAGTTTTTGAATAACATCAAAATATTTTTGTAATATCATAATTAAAAAGTTCATCTAACTTAATCATTAAATCAAATTTCAGATATAAATATTGTTAAAATAAATAAACAGATTGGATGCTAATTTAAACTTTGGCAAAATTAAAACGCAACGATAAACATAATAATAATATTAATAATAAAAGAAGTCAATATCTAACTTGAGCTGTCTTTAATAAAATATTCTTGTCCTTAATAAAATATTTTGCAGTCTTCATAAATTTTTTGTAATAGCATTTTCAGATTTCATAAGTATCAGATCAGAACAGACTTCAACTTTTGGTAAGTGTGAGAATATTAAATAGAAATCACAAACATTTATCTTAATTATTAATTCGCGTCTTCTTTATTTATACTTTTATTAACATACCACAGGTCCTGTTAGATTGCATGCCTTAAGATTTTTATAATTTTCGTTGTATTTTATATATACGTAACGTCCATCGTACACATTGACGTATTGCATTTCCCTTCTCTCGTATGTTCTGTATGGTCTATCGTACATATTGTACATATCAACATATTGTGAAGGTAAAACCTGCTTCTCCTGAAACACATATAGATCATGTATCTACGATACATGCAGATCTTTCTATCAGCGGTCAATTTTCTTTCTTTTTGATATAACAAGTGGATAATAGACGGCGAACCGATAAAAGCGATCGTATGGTGTAATTTGCGGCGATCAATTCCATGAAACTTTCTCGCATTTGTCACATCCAAGCGAAAAACAAAATCAGATCAAACTGGACGATAGTGTGGTGCAAGTTTTACCTCGTGAATGTACAGTTTGAACAAGAATACTTCCGGAATAATGTCATATAAAGTAACATTCTCTTTAATTTCTTCTCTCTTGGTATACGCTATCACTTTCCATATACCCGCGTGACTTTCGTTAAGTCCGGAAATGCGAATTGAGCACACATTATCTATCATTGAGATGTCTTCTCTGATACTCTTTTCTGTGATACTCTCTTAAGGGTATGTATTCAAATTTTTTGTCCTGATTAGTTTCGAGGGCGCATCTTACTACATTCCTGATTGGTTCAACTTTCAGCTCCTTGTCCAAGCCCGAAGAAAAGGTCACGACATTCTCTGCAAGTATATCATTTCGATGTATTCCGATTAGCATGTCACCCGTAGCGGTGTGCGACGAGAGATTCACTCGAGCATTCCTCTCGTCGATCACCGCGGTTGAAAACCGGGAACGGTTTCGGCGGAAACGGATCCGATCTCGTTTTTTTTGCTCGTCGAGGAAAAACGCGACGCTCGATAAATTCCGAAACAAACGAAAGGTGGGATGCAGGCTTTTGCACGGAGAGAACCGCCGCGCGCGGGGATGGGGAAGCCGCACGAGCGAGAAGGGAGGTGAGAGAGACAGGAGAGAGGACGGGGTCGCTGAGGGTGGCCGCGGCCCTACAGGGAAAGGGTGGAACCGCGGAAGAACTATAAATCTAACGATTTACCCGTTACGCCGAGGACGTGGCGCCCGATCAGAAGAAGAAGCAACGAAACGATGAAGCGCGTCATGCTATCCGAATAAGCGACGATGACTTTGACTGGCCGAGCGACGGAATGA